GGCCAATAACGTCAACTCTCGACAGCGCACACCATACTGTCACCTTATCACTGTGAAGTGGCCTCTCATGGAGCTCTCTGGGATTGTTACCACTCCAATAGTGCATAAACTGCTTGATGACATATCCGGATAGGTGAAAATGTGCCTCATCACTAAAGAAAACAAGTGCGTCAGGGGGCAAAGTTTCCCATAACATTTCACACGCCGTTATTCGGTTCTGGAAATCATGTGGTGACAATTCTTGCACAACAACCATCTTATAGGGATGGAAATGAAGATGTTCGTGAAGAATTCAGCGCATTGAACAATTGGATATGTCTAGGGCGACTGCATGTTTGCCAGCGGAGTGTCCTGGAGATCTCAAAATCAACTGTCAAACTGCCTCCACATTTTCTGGCGTCGTAACGGTCCGTTGTCATCCTGATGATTTTTTCACCACACTCCTGGTTGTCCTAAAGTTCTCTACCAACAAAACAATCGATTTCCAGTCGGGAACTGGACCTGTGGGCTTAAGTCTGAAGTGAGTACGGAACGCACGCTGCTCACTCGTCCACCTCATGTTTCCTACTGAGGGGTATTAGACAGAAACTTCCGTGACTGCTGAGTTTGCCGAGCCTATCACCACTTTTCTGTGACCTCCCCTCTCTTCACAATGCGTCTTCACAAAAAGGAAGTTTCTGCGCCCCACTCTGTATAATCACTGCATTCTGAAAGAAGGCATGACCACTTCTTTTCCACATCCTTCCCACTCCTTCCATAATTGGCTTGACTGATTTCATTGGATCCTTTGTATCTTTTGCAGTTGACCAGCTGGGTTTGCCTCTGTCTCTGGGATGTTATTTATTGAACCATTCTGTGAATACCTCGGACCTTATATGAAATAGAAGTGCCTACAAAGTTTCGGCAGGAAAACATGAAGAAAATAGATGAGGAAGACTTAAGCATAGATGGAAGGATAATATTAAAATGCTTATTAAAGAACTATGACAGGAGGATGTGGATTGGATTCATGTGGCCCAGAGTAGGGAGCAGTGACAAGTTGTTATGAACACAGTAGTGAATTTTAAGGTTCTATAAAAGTATAGTAATTTACTGCGTGACAAGGTGTTGGTTTTTGAAGGAGGAGTTGGGTCCATGGAGTAAGTTGGTTAATCAGTCAGTCAGTCACTGTCCCAGACTATGTACGTGATGCGTTCCGTATATAATGCCTCCTATATTCTTGTGTTAATATGTAACGTCTGAGCTGGATGTTGGTGGTGCTGTAGTAAAGGTTGAACCTTCCCACCAATGTACTGTTAATTTGGTTGTCATGCGACAGAGAGTGACAGCAGAGCAGTCTACCAAAATGGCATCTGACATAGAAGTGCGTATGAAAGAGAAATGTGTTATTGAATTTCTCACTGCCAAACAAATTGTACCCATTGACATCCATCGACACTTGCTAAAGGTGTACGGAGACAATACAGTGTATGTCAGCACAGTGATTCGGTGGGTAGTGAGTTTCAACAGTGGCGAAAGTGAGGTGCACCACAAGCCATGCCATGGGCGTCCCAGTTCAGCTGCCACTCCTCACAATGAACAGCGCCTCATCCATACAGATCAGTAGATAACGAACAGGGACTGTCAATTCTGAACGCTACAAGATGACGCTGACGTAAGCTGAAAGCTCATATTTCCCTGAGTCAGGCCAGAGAAGCAGACAACCTTTCGTTTGCAACACGATAACGCTAGACCCCCATACCAGTTTGGCTGGACTGTCCTACCACATCCACCTTATAGCCCCGATTTAGCACCTTCAGACTTCCATCTCTTTGGGCCTATGAAAGACGGACTACGTGGGCAACATTTTCCAGACAACGATGCTGTCATTGCAGCTGTAAGAAAGTGGCTAGCCTCTGCTGGCGCAGACTTTTACGGGCGCGGCATACAGGCTCTTGTTCATCGATGGCAAAAGTGCATAATGAATGGTGGTGATTATGTGGGAAAATAGCTGTAAGTAGCTGAGACCTTGCTCTATTTAACTGCGTTATTATGATTTCTGTGTCTGTTGTAGTTTTCTTTAAAAAAATAGGCACTATATACGGAACGCCCTTAGTATAATGTCAAGTGGCAGGATGATCAGTAAATAATGAATTGCGAGGAATGTGGCAGGAAATGGTCTTGGTGTAATTTGAATTACTGCCACAGAATTTACCTGGTGAAGGGAGGAAAACCAAGAAAAACATCAAGGTAGCCAGTCTCTGGGCCAGGATTCTAACCTGGGACCTCCTGAATGTGGACGAGTGCTAACCTCTCAGTTATAACATTTGATGTCTCTTCCACGTTGATCCCAGCTCTGCATTCATAGTAAACTTGCCAAATTTTATTCACTGTAGTAAAACCTCTGCAGTTGACACAACAGTAATGTAGTTTTTTCTCTGTCTCTCCTATGTCTGCATTTCCCAGAATTTCAGGAATCTGTTAATAATTTGTTTGAAATATCAGAATGATATGAATCCAGAAAGTGTACTCTGTTTGGCAGTATGATACCATATAGTCTGGTAGACGTTTAACAAAATTTTAGAACAGCATACTGCCTCCATATTTGGTGTCACAGATATGCTATGCTAAGAAAAGCAGTGAACAAAGAGGAAGCATCTTGCTTTTGCATGTTTAGCATATCTTTGACCCTGAAGATGGAGGTATTACATTCCTCCAAAGTGTCAAAGGATATCCGTCAGACTACAGCCCTTGATTGTCACCACTTTGAGAACCTCAAATTGAACAGACCACAGTACAAATACATATATTTTTTAAGAATCTATCCCTGATGTGTTCCTTCAACAAAGAAATGCACTAATGTCTCCCTCCACCCCATACCTTTTTTTTTCCAGTGGGAATTTATTCTTGTTTGAAGTAATATTTCTGCAGAACAGGTAAGAGAAGGATTACTAAAGCTCGTTTTCCAACTGTTTCAATTTTAGTCTGTAACTATTGCTATTTGTATTTTTTTATATTATTTATTTATTTATTTCATATGATCTGATTTTATAAAGTATGCCTATTATATACATTAAATCTGTTGGATATAATCTATAAAGTTCTGCATTGTTGTAATATTTATAATTGTGCAGTTTGAACCACGTTTCATGTGTTAACATGATCTGTCTTTGTATCAGATCTCATGTACCCGGTTCTAACAGTTCTTTGGTTACCTTCAAACCGAAAGTCAAAGAAAATTACTGCGCAGCCTCCATGTTCTTATTTTATATTCTGAAAAGAATTATGTTGTCCTTGCTGCAGTTGCTGACACTGCAGTGCAGTGTGTTTATACCCACAGCATCATGTCATTGATATATGAAGAAAGGTAGCAAAGGATATACCTGGAAAATTTTGCACCCATGATTCTCTGTGTCTTGAGTACTGAAATTTACAAGTCATCTTATTCTTCCCTGATCACTGTGTGAGTCATCAAGCAAACAGAACTCTTTTTCTGCTTCAGTAGTCCTGAAGCTTTACTCAATTTCTTCCCATGTTCTTTTCTGTGCTCACTTTCCTAACCTCTTTGCATTTTAATTCCAGTCTTCCTATTGGGTGGTGGTCTTTTAGTTTCATGATCAAAACCAATTTGCAGTTCTGTTCTTGTTAACTAAAAAAAAAAGAGTGGCCATGCTGTTGTATTACTATTTGTTAATTCTCTTCCACGGTAAAACTTGTAAGTTTTGTTTGGTGTTTTTGTTTTTTATTTTCATCCAGTTTTTCCTACAGTATGTCTTAAAATTTGGGCATGCAGTAGCATAGTTGGTTGAGGGGCTATGCTGCAAGCCTGAAGGTCGCGGGTTCAAGTCCCAATCAAGTCGTTGGATTTTTTTTCAATTGACCTAATCCTTCCAGCCGCACTATGGCCTTGGGGTCAACTCAGCCTCTAACAGAAATGAGTACCAGGAATTAATTAAATAATTTTCCTGTGGAGTAAAGCGCAGCTGGCGCATAAGGCTGACAATCTTACCGCCATCTTTGATCTGATTGTCTAGATAATGTGGGACCCTCAACGTCACACAACCCTATGGGCCTTCACAGCCTCTTACAGGGATAGCTTTACTTTTTTTACTTTTTATGTCTTAAAATCCTCATAACCAAGTAACTGGTAATTTTTTAGCTTCCTTCTATTCATTGCATAATTTCTTGTTGCATTGTTGCATTTGACTGAGCAATTTAGCTGAAGTTGTAATGCTTCTCTGACTTGCATTTGGGGGTGCTGGAGTCTTGATGGCAGGGTGATAGCTATTCTTATTGACGGTTTTCATTGTTTTCCTCAGCCACATTAGACAAATGTGAGGATACTATCTCAAATTATGCCATGTGTAGTCCTCCCAACATCCTTTCCAGCTCAGTAATTTCCAATCATTCTGTCATGATACTATACAGGCTGAGTTACTGACAGCATAATTAAATGAGCCACACACCTAAATGTAAATATTCTTGAGTTGTCTCTATTTTTATTGCAAAATTTCAAGATACTCCATTTTATTTATTGCTCGATTATTACGGAGCCAAGATAGCGCAGTCGATATAGTGACTGGTTATGGGGCTGGATGACCAAGGGGTTGGAGTTTGATCCCCAGTGGGGGCAAGAATTTTCAGTCCTCCATGTCATCCAGACTAGGGGCCTGCCCAACCTCCTATCGAATGGGTACTGGGAGCTCTTTCCCCAGGGGTAAAGCGACTGGTGTATGAAGGTGACCCCCACCTCCAACTAGTGCTGATGTCAAGAAAACATGGGTCTGTACATCCTCTCCCCCGTATGTCTTCATGGCATAGTGTTTAATTAGTTAAGCACATGGACAACTTTACCTTTTACCTTCGCATTGATTATTTCATTTTATCATTTCCATGTCTCCTGACCTGTAGCTTATTTTCATAACCACACATTTATCTAAATTAGCATTTCATCCAAAAAATTTTTACACCAGCAATCCTGAAATTTTAAGTAACATTTGTGTATGGTGTGTGTTTGGCAGTTCAACCTTGCAATTCGTGACCTACCAGAGGTTCTTGCAGAAGCAAAAAGGGCTCTTTGTGGTGAGGTGGTGACAGCCCGCTTACCCCTTTGTGTGGAAATATCACTGCGCACAGTGGAGGGTGACACAATGATGTTGGAGACATGGTGCCTGGGTGTTCTTCCTGAGCAGTGTGACCCATCAGTCCGTGTCACATACACTGTCTACAACAGGATGGGCATTCTTCTCAAGTCTCTTGTGTCTGTAACAAGAGTCACACCAGCCTACAAACTGTCACGGCGCCAGGGACCAGATTCTTATGTCATCTGCTACCGTATCTATATGGGGGAGCCTCAGTTACACAACCTCGGTAAGATAATGTGTAAGGAAATGTTTAGGAAACTTTTTGCTTTAAGTAGTGTGATCCACACATGAATCACTTTCTATCCAATTACAGTTTTGTAAGTTTTGAGCTTTTAACAGTTATAATGGTTCAGATTATGGTGTCCTGGGTTGTAGCACCTTAGTCTCGTGAGTGGATATCGATGTTTTAGAGGATCGTGCCACGTTGAATTGCATAGAATGAGAATCACTTGGCTTATATGCACTGGTTACGAGGACAGTGGTTACTCAAACCTGCAGGAGGGGGTCCTTCCTGTAAGAAGCACTAATGTGACTCTTCAGAGGGCTGGTTCCTTGCCCACCATTCCTATTGCTCTGCATGTTCTTACCCCCTTCTGTGGGTTTGAAAGGTCATGTTCCTCGTATCCAGCATATATAATCCCACTGAGTCTTCATCTTACACACTTCAATGCTGAAGATGGGCAACATATTGCTCTGAAATGATGGTATTCGCCCATAAGACTACAGTGTCAATAGCTGGCAGATGGCAATTTCAGTAGTCACAATTTTGTTTTGCAGTAGTACTGAAATAGCATCCCATTAGAAGACAATTACATGGCTTTAAGATTGCTGTCTTTTGGAATGTGATGCTTTGAAGTCTGGTAGATCATTACTGTAGTTGTGGAGGGCCTGTTGCCTTCAATGTAATGGTAAGGACACATCACAGAAGGCAGTAATCTTAATAATCACCATCATGAGAACCTCAAATCATTTTGATAAACAACACTTAGTATCAGTTACTCATTCTGCTTGTTTCTGATGCTACTACCTATTAATTACCTTTCCAAATGTTAAATTGCCACTGTGCTTTATTGTTGTAGAAGTAAATAGGGCACAGGTATATCACATGTTGAGTTATGTTTACATGATGTAATTGCATAAGTGTCATAGTTTGCTGAGAGGACTTAAAACTGCAGAAATGATTCATCATCATGTGTTTGTTGATCTCTAGGAGAGGGCTATAACCAAGTGAGAGTAGGGCAGCTGTGTACCCCAGTGGGGACACTGCATCTGTCGGTGTCCTACCGCACAAAGATGACTATCTCACCGCAGAGCACCTGCAAGGATAATTCTATCATGCTGAAGAGTGACCACTTCCATCCCGACCTCAGTCCAAGACACTTACGTTATCAGCAGAGGTAAGCCAGTTGTTTTGTGAAATAAAATGCCTGCTTCTGTGGTTTTTGTACGGTTAGAGATGGTGCATGGAACCATTACAATGTATTAGTGGTGGAGAGGTGGTTTCATGTTTCTGTGGCTCCCATGCTGGCAAGCAGAAGTGCAGGAACTGAGTTCCTATAACATAACAAGATTTGAAAGTTTCTAGTTAATTTAGTTCTTGATAGATGTCAGTAGCTGATAGCTATTACACAGTTGGCATGTTTGGTGTTGTGAGAAATGAAAGATATTTCTGATGAGTTAAAGCAGGAACAGAGGAAAACGAAACTTAAAACAAATAAGCATTCTGTAAACACCGTGATGTTGCAAGATGATTACTGTTTAATCAAGTCATGTGAAGAGACTGCAAATTATGTTGGTTCGGAGAATATATTTGCGGTGCGTACTGTTGCAGTGTGTGCAGCTGGCGCAGGTAGGCAGGCACCAATATGTGCAACTATTCAGTTTTTACAGGTGATTATAATTGGTGTTATGGTGTTTGTTGTTTGTGGAAAATTTGTGTTTACTTTCAGTTCAATGGCAGTAAATGATAGTGTGAAATTTGAGACTTTCACTGCACTGACTGTGAAGATTACAGTTCTCTTGTGATTTGATGTAGGGAAAGTGAGATCCATGGCCAGGGCAGCCCTAGACCTGGCCTTCCCTTCCCCTCTATCCATACTCATGTTTTTCATGCCCAGCTTGGTCTTTTACCTTGAAGATGGAGACAGTAGGCTCCTCTGAAATGTTGGTAACTTTCTGCCAGACTGTACAGCTTCACATCTGAAAGGACAGCAGTCTGTGTAACTGATAAGGATTGTAGCTACTATCCTTTTGAAGTTTTGAAGATTCATAGAATTGTTTGCAGTTTACTTGGCTCATGCAGTAGCATAGTTGGTTGAGGCACTGTGCTACAAGCCAGGAGGTCGTGGGTTTGATGCCCACTGAGGTCACTGGATTTTTCATTTGACCTAATTCATCCAGCTTTGCTATGGCCCTGGAGTTGACTCAGCCTCTATCAGAAATTAGTACCAGGAATCTTCCTGGGCGCAACGGGTGGCCGGCGTGTAAGACTGACAGCCTGACTGCCATCTGTGAGCCAATTGTCTGGAAAATATTTGAGCTTTGATATGTCACAACCCTATGGGCCTCCATAGCCTGGATAGCTTTACATTTTTTTTGTAGTTTACATTTATTTGTTTGAGCATACAAGAAGGGTTGGAGGATTGCAGTGTCATGATCAATGGTATATGGGTATGAAATTATTGATACATAGTGTGTTCAAAAAGCTTCGAACCTTTGGTCAGCAGAAATACATTTATTGATTTGGAGGTACAAAACCCTAATCCCCTTCAAAGTAGTCTCCTTGGTAATGCACACACTTCTCCCAGCGCTTCCGCCATTGTTGGAAACACTTCTGGAACACGTCTTTGGAATGGTGATCAGCCGGGCCGTCGCATTCCACATGATGTCTTCTCTTGACTCAAATTGGGTTCCTTTCAGCGGCATTTTCAGCTTGGGAAATAGCCAAAAATCACAGGGAGCCTGACAAACCACAGGGAGGTTGTGTTTGGCGACGAAAGTCTGAATGAGATGCGCAGTTTCGGTACGAATTTCGTGGACACTCTTCTCATGCCCAAATCCTCGGTCAAAATTGAATGTACCGATCCAATGCTTACCCCTATCTCGTTTGCAAGTTCTCGGCTTGTGATACGACGGTCCTCCATGACCAAAGTTCGCACTTGCTCAATTACATTCTCATTTCGGCTTGTTGAGGGTCTGCCTGAACGCGGTTCGCTGTCCACTGATGTGCGACCATCTTTGAAGCGGTTGTACCACTCCTTTATCCGTGAGTTGCTCATGGCATCGTCCCTGAAAGCCTGTTGAATCTTGCGAATGGTTTCCACTTGGATATCACCAAGCTTTTGGCAAAATTTGATGCAATATCGCTGCTCATGTTGTTCCGTCATTTTACACCTTACTGGAATCCAACGAGCGCTCACTACACGTCTTCACTCATAGGCCGACTGTCAGCGACTGACGCTTTCTGCAGGCGGGAAAAAATTCACGACTGCACATGAATGTCCCCTCCACATCTCCACCGAAGAGAGCCTCCCGCGCTTCATTGGTTTACGCAGGAAAAAAGAAGGCTCGATAAATTAATTTTATTACAGATTATATTTCTGCTAGAAGATGAATAAGGAAAATTCTTTGGTAGGTAAACCTGTCATGAAAATGTCATAGAACTATTCCTTCGACAAATGTTGATTTCAAGACTAGAAACTTGTGTTAATGATTACTCATTTGACTTGTCAGTGAAGATAACAGCGTGTCTCTGAGTGACACCATCAAGGTGGGGGCATTTGCTGACAGCTGTAGGCAGCCGCAGATTCCTCTGGAGCCAGACTTGGACTTGCCGAATGTGCCATTCAGCAGCCTCCTCACCCCTCGACAGCAGTCACCTCCCCAACCATCTGTCCAGCCAACTGAACCTCCAGTCGAGACAGGAGGAGGAACTGAGGCAGAGGATGATGGGAACGGCAACGTTACCCCCCACTGTGATTCTCGGCGGTCAAGCTGTTCTGTGGTGTCTACCAACGAGGACTTCATTATGGTAGACTTGGTAATAATTTGTTCATGCAATAACACGCATGGGATTTGGAATGCTAACCACTTCATTCCCACACTTACATAAAAAAAGAACCAGTTAAATTTTGTTTTTCACTTTCAGGTGGCAATAGGATATTTGGATTCACCCATTCCCCTACAGTAAACTGTTTTTTTTCCTTGGCACTACAGCCCCAGTGGGCCTAGGCCTACCTCCATGAACTCCGTTCACTTCGGTTTTTCTAGATCTTACACATACGGTAGGACTCCTTGGGCGAGTGATCAGCTCGTCGCAAGGCCTCTACCTGTAGACAAACACAGAAAAACGCACAGAAACATCCATGCCCTAAGTGGGATTTGAACCCATGATCCTGGCTTCCGAGCGAGCAAAGACAGTGCATGCCTTAGACCGCTTGGCTACCATGACCGGCCACAGTAAACTGTTACTCTCAAATTAAAGTGGCCACAACCCCTGTAGTTACTCTATTCCTGGACAATAAGGTTAATTACTAGAAAAATTTAAGACTGTACTTAGGTTTGGGAATGTAATGGTGATACTGCTTTTACTCTCTGGATCTGAATGTCAGACTTTAACAAGGCAGAATATTAATAGAATGAAAGTAGTAGAAATGTGCACTTCAAGAACAGTAATGGGATACAGTCTGATTGATCAAAAATGAAACAAGGTATAAGAAAAGACTTTCACGTGAGATGTTACTTTGAGAACTACCAGTCAAAATGGTTAGGGGGTCAAATGAACATATTCTTCAGCCCTTCTCTTTATCAAACAAGTGTGTTTTTTATACAATTATATATATTTTAATATTGTGTAAATCATAAGTCATTTGTGACCTCATGTCCTACCCAACATATAGTGGTGTATATACCTGTTGCTAAGCGGTGACTCTGTGAACAGCAAGTGTTTCTGGGCATCAGTTCAGTGAACATGTTCCTGGTGCTAGGCAGCACATTCCTAATAATGTAACAGCTGGAGTACAGCAATGGAAACAGGGTGTTTCTACATGTTCTGCGCTGAGGTGTTATAAGCAAGTGACAAGGCCAGTCAGTGGGTTTTGCGCAGGAGTATGTGTGCTTTTCTCCACATATCTTGGTGTAAGTTTGAACAAAAATGTTTTTGGAGAAGCACTGTAGAGATAAATGAATTATTCGCTTTATGTTCACTGTATATTTTCGATAAAGTTTACAGCACTGAGGATAATTGAACAAAGTGAATGCTATGCACTCATTTTCACATGTCTGTAATTGACAATCGCTGTTATCTGATCACATCAGAAACATGGATTATTCATGATTTTTAATTCTTCATGTGCCTTCTCTGCTTTATAAGGTAGTTGGGTGTATATTATAATTTAAATAGAACAGTCCCTTACTGTAACACAGGTGATTAGCTGTTTGCCTGACCTGATCCTTGTGGTACACACCTTGAACTGCATCCGAAGCATTCATGCTTGCATTGCATTCTATTCAGAGCTGAATTTGTCAGTTTCCATTGCTTTCTGTGGGAAGTCAAACCATTAGGATTATGACTAATTCACTTAGTGGGGGGTGGAGTCCAACTGGGTCCACTCGGCACGGCAGCCATTGATTGGCATATTGTAGTCTGCCCCGGGTGATTATGATGATGGAGAATTTGGTGGAATGAAGATTGGCAGGGTAAACCGAAGTACTTGGAGAAAACCCGCCCCAGCACCATTTCCTCCACCACAAATCCCACTTGATCAGACCCGGGATCGAACCCGGTCCACTGCGGTGGGAAGCCAGCGACTAGCCGCTTGAGCTATGGCGCGGCCCTAGGGTTTATGACTAAGTAACACACATATGTCCTGCTGCCACATGAACGGCCCAAAAGTTAACTTTTAATTTTGCCTCTTGTTTTTCTAACTGTTCTTTCTAGTAATCCTGTCCCTCTCATTTCCTGTACAGTTTATTACTTTGTGTAGTCAATGCAAAGAATCCTTTCTGATCAAAGGTTTCCATACCTTACACTTGTCGCCCTGGATTTTTGTCAGAGTTTCCTGATTAAATTTGAAATAGGTTGTATTCATTGACACCTATCTCTGTAATTTCATCTCACTGGCCTTTGTAGTTTATTCACTGACCATTGTGACTAGTAAATTTTTTCTCCTCTGCTACAGATTAGGTCTATAGCCTGTTCCAGCTTCATCTATCCATCTTCTCTTGGTTTTCATTACTTCCCCTTCGTACCCAGTTATATTTTAATACTTTATTTGGTATTCCATCTTCATACATCATAACTGAATGAGACAACCAATTTAATTTGTATTTTATACTTGCTTAATTTGCTGATCTTGTTACCTTTAAATTCTGTTCCCATATTTTCGTTTCACAATTTATCCCATCCATCATATGCCATAGGAGCTGGGATACTTCAGTCAGTACAGTGATGGGGTGTGGACTGGATACCTGAGAAGTTAGGGGTTTGAATCCTGGCAGGGACGAGATTTTTCTCTCCACCACGGCATCCAGACCGGCACTGGGACCCATGCAGCCTCCTATTCATTGGGTGCTGGGGCCTCTTTCCCTATTGTAAAGTAGCGGGGGTATGAAGCTGACCACTCACCTCCATTTAATGCCATAGTTAAGAATGCGTGGCTATGTACTTCCAGTTTGTTATACAGCTTCTTAGTGTGATGTTTAAGTAATTGAGCACAGGGACAGCTTTACCTTTATCATATACTATATGTGTTCTTTAAAACCTCATTCCTGCTGTCTCTATCCCTCTTTTCCTGTAGACCTGCATTTCTCTTCCATGCAGTAATTGTCTTGTGTGCCCTTTCAGGGTTTCTTTCTGTGTAATATTGATACATCCTGATTGGTCTGAAAAGCATGTAATTTATCATGTTTTTCTGCTGAATGATATGTTAACAAAGCTTTTTAGCAGAAGAATGTTGTCATACAAACCATCAGTCTGCTTGAAATGGCACAGTTCATATGATCCCACATTCTGTTTGATGACCACATTAATTAATGTAAATCTGTCTTGGTACAGAATTCATTTATGTATGTAAAAGTTGAAGGCCTCCCATTCTGTTGTAGTTCTGTTTTCAACTTGTCATTACGTAGCAGTAGAGTTGTTAAGAGTTACAGATATGACCACCAAATGGCAGTGAGAGATACCTGTGCTACTCTTGGCACTGCAGGCTTAAACCTTGCTGGAAACAGATTTCCACTATTGACAACATTCATAATCAGTGAAATCGTGATTTAATATATATAAGAATGGATCAGAGGAGTGTCTGTGCAAACTGTACTTAGAAGTGGGAATTGTTTATTTCGAATGTTCTGCTCGTTTGTTACATCTGACATTGTTCAGAATAATGTGCAGCAGTGTATTGATGCAAGGGGACATTGCTAACTGTATGTGGCAAGGAAGTGGAGTATATGTTGATGCTGAAATAATACCTCTTATGTAGTGAAATTTATTGTGTGATGATGTTTATTTCATACCTGTAGAGATCAAATCACTCAGCTACAAGATGTTATGTCATTCATGAAGTTGTGAGTGAGAGTGTGTCTTTCTATTGTTTAGTGGTAAACTAGACACTGGCCATTGTGATGCTCTGTTGCCATTTGGGGGAAGAGAGATTTTACAAGCATCCCTCTTCTATCTACTCATCGTTGTTGCTCCGGCCGCTCCTTTCCTCCTCGTAGCTGCTATGGCTACTCCTGCTTGCCGCTCCGTCCACCTTTACCCTTTCTCGTACTCTGCTACTTTTAGATAGTTTTCCTTGCAATTTGGTTACAGAAGTAACCAGGTTGGATTTAGGATAATGGTAGGCATGGATCTCTTTCTCAGGTCGATAACAGGTCTTTCTTCGAAGAAACTTCAACACAACGAACCCTTGGCTTTACAACCTTAGGTTTAATTTACCTATTCTTTGTCACAATCACTAATCTGTCATTTTTAATTATACATCACTCACTATTTATAGTAGTTACATTGGCACTGTCCCGCCTACAAAGGCGATTCTATGAGGAAAATAGCCAGTGCCTCCACTCACGAGGAGTGTATCTTATCAAGTCTTGCCTACCACTGGCTTGGCGACGCTAACAGACCTAAGGGCCTTCCCAGCACCACACCCTAGATGACATCATTCCCCACATCAATCCGGGGATCCACCGTCCACTCTCCAGCTATAAAACTGCACATACGAAATAATGCCGTGCTATCGTCACGTAGGCACCTCCCCTCCAGGGCCTCACACATTCAAGTCCACTAGTAATCGGTTACAATTTGATATGGCTGACAGTTATTCTTATATTCAACTTTTGCTGAAAAAATTTCCTCTAGATAACAGCAACAGCTGGTTCATATTGTTATTTTATCAAACTTAGTATTGTCATATAAAAGCAGCCAACTTTGCGGAGCTTTTTAAGTTACTGAGCTTAGGTGTTTTTGATGTAATTTGATTTTACCAAATTTCAGCTGATATTCTGTTGGGTCTTATGCTAGTAACATAAATATAAAATATCTACTGAATGTGGTAATCTTACAGTTAAATCAGAATTTATGCTGAAATGTTAGTTTAAATGGGATGTGATAAGTATGGGCTAAGTAGCTTATTGTAAGGAGTCATCAAACCTTCCTGGGACTAAAGAGCAGCTGGTGCACAAGGCTGACAACATCACTGCCATCTGTGAGCCGATTATCTAGAAAATGTGGGAGCCTTGATGTCTCACAAACCTATAGGCCTCCACAGCATGTTACATGGATACCTTAGCTTCATCATCATCATCAGTAATCTGTCAGACGACAGGTCCACAGTCTCTTCCAAAACAGTTTCTCCACTTAATGCGATCTTCTGTTTTTGAAAAGAGACTATCCAGGAAAAGTGATAATGTGGTAGTTTTTCCATTTGCTTTCCACATCGCAGTACAACAGCCGTTCAAACCACTCTGGTCACGCCTGTTGCTATACGAACTTGAACTATCTCGAGCATCATTTGCTCTGTGCTTCAAGTCGCTGCTGATGACGCTGCTTCCGACATCAGTTTTCGGTGTCTCTCTTCGTCTGCTGCCTACCCTTTGACCTGTCCAGCAAGGGAGGCCCTGCCAGTAGCTACGCTACCGCTGGTATAGCTCTCAGGGTCCTTGGCATACTCGAACCCCCTCACCACGATAAGCTAGTAACAAAGGTGCTACAAACCTCAGGTGTCTTCTGAGAGCAATTCAGAAGTTTCCTGTATTTTACTAGCATGTAATGATCTCTTCAAGTATGAACTGTCTTGCAGTGAAGCCATAGTATCACCTGTGTGTAGCAGGTAGGCAGTGTGTCACTGAGCTAGTGAGGGTGTGGGAACATCCCACATTATCACGCATTTCTGCAACGCTCGCTCTTCACATCACTTTTCACCATCACGCGCGCTAACCAATCAGATTGCTTCAAACGTTTGTATTTATACTGTGCTCCCTGCTAGCCCGCATCTACATCATTACGCGTGCTAGCCAATCAATTCTTCCTCCTCAATTTTGAGTTTCGCTCCGCCCACCGAGCAGTGTATAAAAATGGGCAGCTCCAACGGCGAGTTATCAGTCGACTTCAGTCTATGATCAAGCAACACCAGCCAGCAGGCTTCGTCGCCAGCGCTCGGTCTTCGGAGGCATCGGCAGTCTGCGCCAGGCATGACTGCCTTGGCCCTCCGGCTCTCTCACACCCGACTCACTGGGGCACCGCGCCTGGACTCGCCGGTGGTCGTGTTACTGTCCGACCCACTGGGCATCTGGCATAGCCACTGCTTCATAACTCCTACGACCGCGCTCAACGACTAGCCTTTCACCAGCAGCCGCCGCGCTGCGATCAAGCAACCTCCAACTCACGCTGCCGCACGGCAACCAAGCAACCTCCAGCCACGGCCGCACTGCGGCCAGTCCGTTCACCGTAACTAGCCTTTCTCCCTACCGGCGCGCACCGCGCTACCTCACCGGTCAAGCATCTCATCAACCACGGTCCTTTTCAGGACCAACAAACTGTTCTGAAGAAGTGGGTTGTCATCGGAGTAATGACAAGACTACACATAAGAGCCCCACAAGGGTATGCATCAGGCATGTGGACGTGAGAATTGATCGCATGGATTCTCCTGTTGGGTCACTGCCCTGTGCACACATAGACAACATTACCAACATTTAGCTAATATCTGCTGCTGTCTCCACCTTCAAGTTCAGAGTGAGTAGGCTGAATGTTTGCATACATACAAACCCATGGCAGATAGGGTAGGGCTGGTGCACAGTCTGAGTCAGTAGGAACAGTGGACAAGGGAAATTACAAAATGGCCCTTTTCAGTATCACCAAGTACACCAAAGAACCATCAGCAACTGGTGTTCCCGACTGGTCACCCATCCAAGTGCTACCAAGCATAAAGTTGCTTAACTTCCTCTGCTGTGGGTTGACTGGCAGAACAGGATGGAAACATCTAGTGTCCGAAAAATTGTGTTCGCTCAAAATGCTAGGTGATGGAGAGATTTCAGATGCTCAATAATCACAGATATAAACTTTATCCGGAGAAGAATGCTTTGAGGCTGAATATTTGATGATGGATGGCTGTTCATTGGGGCTTCATGGTTTCATAAAATCCTGATACCTTGAATTTTCTTAAAATGTGTTATGAAGCATGTACTGTGTTCTGGGTCGTAATGGTGTGTAGTTAGGAGACAGCCCAACATTTCAGAGGAACGTACTGTCTCAATCTTGAGGGTGAAAGAGTAAGCCAGAACAAGAAACTGGCAGAAGGAGGCTCTGTCTGAACTGCACAGCTTTACAACCCAGAAAACAGTGCTGTTCATAGTCCCTGCCTTGAGAATGTGATTTCCTGTGAGCTGTGTTATATTCTTTTATTGTATATTAATCTGCCTTTAACTTGAGGTGGTGTCCTAAGACTGGAAGGTATCTGTGTGGTGGTACCCTTATTAGGCCAGTTGCTGGTAGCCTTAGAACTGGGAAGAAGGATGGAGATGTGGCAGGTGCTTCATCATAATCCTGTCCTGTCATCTGTCTGAAGGCTTCACAATCACAGTTTTTCACTGTTAGAAGACCCCATGCCATGGCTACCAACTTTATAGATATACCTACCTTCACATAATGATCACTTGCTGAGTTGTGTTGTAGCGTATAGACCCAGTGCTGAGAGGTGACTGTAAACATCAGCCATTGCTAGGTAATGCCTGCACACGACAATAGAGAAGGTGTCATGATATGTGACATGTACAGCCGTTGCTATGTGGTGCCCACAGCATATGCATTCATGGTGACATCACACAACAACAGAAGAGGTGATGCAGGCAGTGTTCTCTGTGGGTCTGCTCCAAGGCTGTGTGACTCACCAACCATGTTCTGTTCAGGAAGTGAGTGCAGTGTAGTGGACGGTTCAGTTGCAGTATTAACCAGTGCACAACAGAAGGTGAAGAATCTCCATTGCTAAGATTTGTTACCAGGAAGACATTGCAGAGGAATAGTCATTATGGAGAGCTGTCACCATGTAAAGACTGGCAAAAGACTGAAAAGAGTTAGTGTGAAGTGATTTGTAGGGTGGAAATCAGCAATAGTGTTATAGTTGTCTGTAGTCGCAACCTGCGAGTGGTCAGTAAATCTATTCACCAATCCAAGCGCCATCTATAGTCACAAATATGCGTGACATTATGTTATTGCAGTTTGAATCCTTTGACATCTCTTCTGAAGTCCATCTGTGCTACAAACTAGGATATGTCACCTTGTGTAGGCAATCTCATGTGTGTGTTTGGGTTTCATACCAGTGTACAAATGCCAGAAGTCCTGAAAATAGAATCTAACAATGTTATAGAGATACAACAGGCTGTGTTACTAATGAAGATGCAGTCTGATTCTCATAATAGATGATGTGTAGTAATTTGCATATAGGGCAACAGATTACAGGAGTTCTATTTTTTCCCCCAAAAAGTATTTTTTCTTAATATTTGCATGACTTAATCTGTAGCTATCAGAAATATTGCCAGAAGTAAAAACATTTGGATAGGATTAACCTCATCAGAGTTGACTGCAATAGGCACTTCTAATGAAATGGTTACTTAGAGAACCTTACATTTCTTTACAGAAAACACCGTTTGCTGGAGGCAATTCCAACAGTGAGCTTGGTGCATTTTACCGGGAATGCCAAAGTGCGCCGCAACTGAAGACCTTCTCCGAGCAGCCAACGTTGGCTGAACAAGTTGGGGATATCAGTAAAACGTTAGAAGCCTTTGAAACGAGCATGCAGGAGTACGATGAAATGCTCAACTCTCTCTGCCTTTCTGATAACAATAACTAGAAACTGTAAGTGAAGTGCATTGCCAGAAAGAATCTCAGTTTCAGCAGCCCATCTTTGAGTGTGAAGTACAGTTCTAGTTTTGTCAGATACTTTGTGTTGCCAAATTGTTAATTTCATTTTCAGACCCTAAGAAAGCTGAGGATGTCAAATGATACAGTTTTTGATATTACATTCCTTGTACTATTTCACAAGTTTCTAGCTACAAGAGGTACACCCTTCTTGGCCATCATGGTAGATGGATGCAGACCATAGAGGTCAGTAAGCTTTTAATTGGAAATGCCTGCTTCAACCAATTACAAAAAGAAAGAACCATCATATTTATGTAAGATTTGGTGTTCTGATGGCCGTAAGCATTAGATAACCATCTTCTGGTTTATGCCACCATGTGGTTTCATGAGTAGCTACCAACTTTCTAGAGAAACCTGGAGAATGGGACACATATACATATACCCTTTTTTGCTTAGAATAACCGATACTATGACGACCCATTGACCTTTCCTCTTGGGACACTCTGTATATGTGCATATAGGTCACACCCTCTGCAATGCATTTTTGCCCCTGTTATAGTCAGTGTATGAAGTGAGTTAGTGGGGGGTGGAGTCCAACTGGGTCCACTCGGCACGGCGGCCACTTATTGGCCTATTGTAGCCTGCCCCGGGTGATTATGATGATGGAGAATCTGGTGGAATGAAGATTGGCAGGGGAAACCGAAGTACTCAGAGAAAACCTGCCCCAGCGCCACTTTGATGAAGTGAGTTGACTCACGTGGTAAGTCTGACTGGGAGGCACCCAGTGGGCACCTACTGTCATGACAGGTACTTCATGATTTCCCTGAAACTTCTGAAGCAAATTCCAGGATAGTACATTAATTAGGCCACAACCACTTTGTTCATTATTGGAGTGATTGGCAATAGAAGCCACTCTGAGCCTTGGCTTTCATGTGGAGGTGTACCGTCAGTCTTTCTCAACCCATGGCACTAGATGGAGGTGAGTTGTGGCCACTTTACCCTTGGGTGAAAAGCTGGGTGAACCCCAGAGCTGGTCTGGGCATGGTAGTGAACAGAAAAATCTTTGCTGCTTCAGTCTTCAAGCCCATAGCCTAGTCACTATACTGAGCTATTTAGCTCACTTATTTATTTCTGGCACTAGTTATTTTCAGAATCTTTTCTTGTCATCTCCAGCTGCAGTGGTGAATGTGGCATGTGTTTGCAAGCTAAAATTGGTTGAATATGCAGAAGAAAGTGTTTCAATTTTTGCAACTTGTGTATGGTCATAACATTTGTTACAATCTAATGGGGTCAGTAAAGTACAGGGTGGGGCACAGAAACTTCCTTTTTTTGAAGGTGAATAAAAGAAAAATTATTGCTGATAGACAAAATTTATGTTTAGCTAATGAAAGAACATACTTTAAAGTTTTAAATCATGTAGTTTTAAACAAAATATCTTGAAGGTGGTGACCACCATTCTCTATGCACTGATGCAACCGTTTTCTGAAGTTCCCCTCTGCACGTTCCAACATGTGCACCAGAATTTGGGCTACTTCCTGCCGAATAACATTCTTCAGCTGAAGCAGGTTTGTGGGGCGATGTTTAAAAACCTCTGCCTTGAGGTATCCCCATAAAAGAAATCACAAGGCGTTAGATCAGGTGAGTGCGCTGCCCACGGGATGTCACCTCGAAGCGAGATGAGCTGTCCAGGGAATTTTGCCCTCAAAACTGTCATCGAAGCTCGGGCTGTGTGAGCTGTGGAACCAGACATTTCTTCAAGAGCTGGTTCGAAAAAGATCTCAAAATCGACTGTCGAACTGCCTCCACATTTTGTGGTGTCGTAACAGTCCGTTGTCGTCCTGATGATTTTTCACCACACTCCCAGTTGTCCTAAAGTTCTCTGCCCACAAAACAAATGATTTCCGGGCGGGAACCGAACCTCTGGGCTTAATTCCGAAGTGAGTACGGAACGCATGCTGCACCGCCATGTAGGAATGGTTGTTTGAAAAATAGTCTTCGACAGCAAACGCATGCTGCTCACTCGTCCACCTCATATTTCCTACAGAGGGGTATTAGACAGAAACTTCCATGACTGCTGCGTTCGTTGAGCCTCTCCCCACTTTTCTTCGACCTCCCCTCCTGTCACAATGCATCTTCACAAAAAGGAAGTTTCTGTGCCCCACCCTGTACTTTAACAAAAGGATATGTCTACACACCCCTATTTTTTAATTGAAACTCTGGAGATCAAATGTGAAACATGTACATATGTAGATACAGGAAATATGCTTTTTCCCCGTTATTTTGAGTACAATAAATGACCAATTATTAACATTTATTATGCTTGTACTTCATAAGGCCTAGTGATTACTATATGTACGAGTATTACCTGCTTTAACACCCCAGTAGCTCTGCATTTTGCCCACACATTAGTGTGTTTTAATGAAGAAAGTATCTTCTGGGTGGCAGGAAATGGGTTTTTAAATATTAGATGAATTTCAAACTTCAAAATGTTAGCAGGAATTATGTTGAATTTTGGAAGAAGTTGGTTTGTATCAAATTATTCATATTGTTTGACATCCTTAGAATAGCATAGCATACATAGCAAAGAATAGAATGGTGATGACAGGTTTACTAGTTAAGATATGTTATGGTAATATTGCTAGGAAATGGTAATTTTAACATGTGAAAGTAAAAATATTGTGTTAAACTGCAGGAATTACTGATTGTAGTCTGCTATTGATTATTTGTATAAAAAGGAAGCAAGGCAGCTCTTTCCACGGATTGAGGCTTTTGATAAAATTCAGCACAGGTTCTGTCTCTGTCCCTTGAGTTAAACAGGTTTGTCACTTTCAGACATGTTTTAGGCCTTTGGTCGAGTCACTAACAACTTTAATACAGTAATTGTATATAAATTGCAAAGCATTTGACACACCCACAGGTAGGAGTAAATGAAGAGAGACTTCAAAATGCTACCCAATCAGCCCTCCACCACAGGGGTTCTTACATCCAAATAAGGGAGAAGTGAAGAAGACCCAGCAGAGTTTAATTTTGGCTTATAAGATATTGTGACATGTCCAACCGTTGCTGGGCAACGGGAGGTGGAACAAGTTACCATGAAGACAGACCCTTGATAAACGGTCGGTTTCTAAGTTACACAACAGTAAGGAATGTGGTGCTTCTCCGAGCCGAGCCGAAGCATGCTGGTTGCTACTCAGCGTTGCCCAGCAACGCCTTTGAAAACGGGAGCCCATGCAGTGACTGTTGCTAGGCAATCGGTAAACACAATGTCACGCAACAGTGAAAGCTATCACGTAACTGTTTTCTGTTTTCTCAGTGCAGAAGCTACATAACAGGAGTATTCATCAGTGCTATATAAATTCTACCCGTGTGGAGGCGGGGTCAAATACCTCCACTGTGACCCTGCGAGTCGTAGGAGGCGACGAAAGGGGAAGTCTCAAATCTGAGATATGTAGGAAATTATGGTCGCATGTCGATAGGGACTCGGACATGAGAAAGACTACGCTGGCAAGGACCAGCAGCATATACAAAAGACAGACCTGTCCTCTCATCAGAGAGGGTGCCCCACAAAAACAAGACTGTAACTGTCAAACAGTAATAAATACCTGGGGCTCGACACCAAGACTTACTGACTGACTGACTGACCATCAGTCGCAATGTGACTTTGACTTTGCTATATAAATTATCTACATTACAATTTTCGATAAGTTAATCAAGCTTATTAACTCTTTCCTTTCTCAGAGAAAATTCAGTTTCAGTCAAAGGTGAAATATCTACACCAAGGGAAATACAAGCGGTGTGCCACAAGGTTCTGTTCTCTCCCCCACACTGTACAGTCTATATATAAACGATATGCTCCAAACACCTGGTGTCTATCTAGGTCTCTTTGCTGACAACAACATGTATATATGTGACAGACCGCAAAGAGGGTTATATTCTCAGAAAGCTGCAGCGAGGCCTCAGTGTTATTGAGACATGGTGTGATCACTGGAACATAAAAATCAATGAAGATAAAACTCAGGCAGTCTACTTCTCTCATAGACTTACGCCCCCCCAGACACATCTTACACTGAATGGGCAGAATATCCCCTTCGTCAGTCATGTAAAATACCTGGGCGTAATCTTCGATAAGAGGATTATGCGGAGACTTCACATAGAAATGATTGAAGCCAAGGCCTTCAGAACATTTATTAGAATCTACTCCCTATTCAGAAGTGAGCATTTAAATGCAAACATTAAACTATCCCTCTATAAGGCACTGATCAGATCAGTAATGACTTACGCTTGTCCCGCCTGGGAATTAGCGGCAGACACCTACCGCCTAAAATTGCAGCGCATGCAAAACAGGTTTTGTGCACCATTGGAAGTTTTCCGAGGTGCACACCAGTCCGCAACTTGCACACGGCTTTCAACTTTCCAGATGTCTATGATTATATAACAAAATTGTGCAGACAACAAGCAGAAATCATACAAAATCATGATAATGAACATGTTCGTGGTATAGGACAAGGTGAAGCCAGACACAGAAAATATAAGAGGCTTAAACTTGGAGGTGGTGAAGCTTATTACCATTCAAATGACTAAGTTTTCGTTGTAGCATAAGATCTGTAAGTTAGGAATGATATGCTCTGTATAGCCTGTACTGACAGAGGACGTGTGTGTAAGGCAAAAGGAAGAGTTTTTGATAACATATTATATGTGCAAAATATACACTTGACGAAAGGTCGAATGTATTCATAAGAGACAGACCCATCTTCTTGTCAGAGAGGATGTTACATAAGGACTATTACCACAAGAGTTCAGTTGGGGAAAAAAAAATCTCTGGTCATGGGCCTCAATGGGCCTGATGCCAAGACGAACTGATTGGCGGTAAACCTCCAGTCGTAAAGTAACTCTGACTCTGAGAGGGAGGAACTAGTCAGTTGCAGTCTAGTATTTGCCGGAATGAATGGAAATAGAATTAATTGTGATACTGCAGATGGCAGTAATTGTTAAACTGTAAATGTAAGAGCGAGTGGAATAAATTCACTATATCCAAGATGGTGTGAAGTTACTTGTTGCGTGACATATACCCAACACATGACAATATTTTAGATGTGAAGGTTCTCACATAACTTATGTGCAATTTTTCTGCCTAACACAGATTGGGGCATTAGAAGGAGTTCTTCCTGTTTAAAGTTAGCCATAATCTGAAGGGTTCTGATGATGGTGTATGACACTCAGAATTACTGGGTTTTTGGACCTTGCCCATAGTGTGGTATTCTAAGAACTAGAAAAAACAATGTTTTGGAAACTGGATCTGTTTCCATCCTCAGATGAGGGGAGACACCTGCTCTGTTGGATCCCTTAATAAGAGCTAATCCCCCCCTCACCTGAGGGGGGATTAGCTCCTGTCCAGGTGTCGCCATTCTAGCTTGATTGCTATAAAATGCTTTTCGCAAGTCTCGAAACATTTAGGCAATGTCTTTTGATTTTCAGTCTCAAAATTGTGGCACAACACTGACTGCCTTATGTATGCACTCACAGTGAAATCAAAAACTCGTTGACCATGCAGGGCATTGGTATAGTAGGGTAATGGGGCACAAAAGACAGTGAAATAGTCCACATTTTGTCTCCATGTACAGTTAGGTCTGGCACGTAGTAAACAGCAGCAT